TATTTTATTATTTTATTATTTTATTATTTTATTATTTTATTATTTTATTATTTTATTATTTTATTATTTTATTATTTTATTATTTTATTATTTAATAATTATTAAGTTATTTATATTAAGCTTATTATTATATCATACCTGTGAGGCGCTTTTGTATACTGCGCTGAGCTTAGGGGAACGTGGATTACCGCAATAGGAAAGCGTTGTGTATTTGTAGTAGGAACTAATTACTAATTTTTTAAGTTAAAGTTCTAAGTTAAACTTAATATTTTATATATTACATAACTAACCGCCGCCTTGGCGCGTGATTAAATTAATACTAAAGTTTTTTTATTAAATAGCCTTAGGCTACTAGATTATGTTATTATAATATTATATAGTTATAATACTATAGTAATAATAATAATACTTTTTTTTTAAGTAATCACGCCCTCGCGATTTATAAATTTATATTTTTTTTTATAAAAAGTAATTTAAATTATAAATTTTATTAAGTGCTATAAAATAAGCTATTTTTAGGTTTATAAAGTGTTATAATTTACATGTAATTTATATTTAAAGTTAAGGGTAAAAAATTAATTTAATTATTTTATTTTATTACTAGGTTTAAATATAGTATTACTACCTATGGTAGCTAGGTATAATATTTTAGTTTTAATATTAAAGCGCCCCCGTAATTTTTTTTTTTTTTTTTTTAAAATTTTTTTAATACCTAAAGCAAGATGGCTCCTGTAAGTATATACCTTTTTTATTATATTTTTTTTATTTTTTAATTATTTAATTATATTTTTAAAGTTAGAATACCTTATATTTACCTTTTTTTATACTTTTTAAGTATGGTATTATTTATTTTAGTAATATTAACTGCGTGTTAATATTATTAAACTTGTATATTTTATTTTATTTTATACTTAGTTTTTATAATAAGGCTTTAAGTTTTAAATAGCTAAATTTCCTTATTCTTGCGCTTTTTTTAATACTTTTAGTAATTATTTATAATATATAATTATTTTATTTTAGCTATTAATATATTACCGTGTTAATTTTTTATTTACCTTTTTTTTTATTTTATTATATACTTACCTTTTTAATTTAGTTAATAAGCTTCCCGCATTTAATTTTCCTTATTTTTATGTTTTTAAAACTATTTTTAGTAACTAAATTAAATATAATTTACCTTTATTATAGCCTTTGTTATATTATATATTTTTAACCCTATTTTATTTTTTAAGGTTTTTTATGTTTGCCCTTTACTTTATATTTTTTTTACTTTAATACCTAATATAGTCTTATATCGCGCTTTAAATATTATTATTAGTAATTATTTAGCTTATTATAATATTTTATTTTATATTTTTTTATTATGGTAGTTAAGCCTTGGTTTTAGCCTTTACTTTTTATTTTACCCTTAATATATAAAAATTATATTTCCCTGCCCATGCTTTATAATATTAATTATTAATATACTTTTTAAAATTATTTATTTTTATTATACTTACGCTACCGCCCCTACTACTAACTTTACTATTATTATTTTTTTTATACCTTTAATATAACTTTTAGCCCTAGCCCTAGCTCTTCTAGTACCTGCCCTAGCCCCCCTTACTTTATTACCCCTTAATTTACTTTAGGCTTACTATTTTTAATATATACTTTTTACTACCTAAAAAAT